GGGAGGGAGGGAGGGAGGGAGAGAGGGAGGGAGGGAAGCTTTACCATCATTCTGAGTTGGTGTGTTCTTAAGAAGCTGGATAAGCTCTTCAGGAACAGGTAACCCATCCTTCAGATAGCTGAAGATCTGCAGCTGAATATCCAGCTGCTGTTTCTGGCTTCCAAGAAATCCCCTGCTTGGAGCTGTTTGCTGCTGTGGCACTGCCACTGCTGCCTCCAATCCATTTGCACTCCCTGCAGTGGGGACTGATACTGTCATCAACAACCATGCCAATTTCCATGAACAGCTTGCATCAGCTTCGATCGACTAGCCATCTCCGATCAGGTTATTTACCCTCCCTCGCTAACTGCTTCAAACACCAAAAAACAACCACCATTCGCTCACCATACCTCGAATGCTTTCGATTGACGTAGAGTGTACAAATGTGTGGGAACTTCCCCCTCCCCTGTTGTTTCTCCCTTTGATTCCCAAAAGAGAACAGAGGAAATCATGTACTAAGTACTACTCCCCAAGAAATGGTTAGTTAGTCCTGCAAATCATGTCCCTACTCACCAGAGGAAATCATATACTACTACTCATCACCATTATGCGCACCTCTTAGTGAGTAGTACTGAGTACCTGGACTACCAGCGTGACCCGGAACCACTTGCCCGGCCGAGCCAAAAAAATGTCATATATATCGTCAAACAGAGCTGCCCGAACTGTAGGCAGAGAGGGAGAGGAGGATATATTTTTAAATTTGGTAAAGAATTTCAGTGTCGCCCTGAGGCAAAAGTTGTTCAGTTTATTTTTCTGCATAACAATGATAACATAGATTTTTAAATAATTTTTTCCTTCTTTTTTTTTTTTTTTTCGGTTTGCTGGGACCTTCCGTGGTCCCTGCACGGGCCGGGCCGCACGGGAAAACGAGGTCGCCCAGGCGGCCTGACTGGTAGCCTAGCTGAGTACATGATTTCCTCTCTCCTGCTGTTTCTCCGTTTGGTTCCCAAAGGAGAACAGAGGAAATCATGTACTCGGTACTACGATACTATTCACCGAAAAATGGTTAGTAGTACTGCACATCATCTTACCACTCACCCGAGGAAATCATGTACTTGCTGAGTAGTACTCCTGAGTACATGATTTCCTCTCTCCTGTTGTTTCTCCATTTGATTCCCGAAGGAGAACAGAGGAAATCATGTACGCAGTACTGCTCACCAAGACAAGGGTACCTGTTGCAGCTTCGCCCGCAAGAAAATGAAGGGAAAAGGGTGCAAATGAGGGTGGGTAGGGGTTTGTTGGTCGGGTGTGGGTTTGCGTGGGGTCGTGGTAGTTTTTAGGCTCACCTGTGCATTGTTGTTGACACTGCCGATGGAACACTGAAGCTGCTTTGTAAGCCTTGGATAGAACAGAGGAAATAATGTACGCAGAACTACTCACCAAGAAGTGCATAACATGATTTTTTTTTTTTTTTTTTCACATGTATAACATGCTATTAACATCACAAATATCGCCAAGGACACGGAAGTGCCACAGTACGTGTGCACCCCTAGGATACATAACAAAGACATAAGCAACCTTTACATGTAGGGATAGTGCCAGTTTCACACCCTTGATCTCCTGCCTACACAGGAGTGGGAACTATCCTCTCTCCTGTTGTTTCTCCATTCGATTCAAAAAGCTCGTGTCTTTCTCTGAATTTCAAAAGATTTGATAACGATTGCTATTTTTGCAGTCGTTTGTTCGTTCGAGTGCGTTTTCGATCGACAGCGTATTACACGACACGAAGTGTTGCCTGTCTACCTACTACGATAGTATCCCCACCTGCGAGCGAGCATGTGATGTTTCGACATACACTCAAGCCCTTGTAAATGAGCACAACCAGATGTTCAAATTTTTTGACGACAATGTATCGTGGTCCGCCCAATCAGCACTATTTCGGGGGTGCCTACCTCATAGGACGATGTCGTGGAGAACAGAGGAAATGATGCACTCACCATGCAGCACATAAACTCGCAACATCACCCAGTACACAGGAATGCCCCAGTACGTGTCTACCCCTACGCTACGTAACGCAGACATAACCAACCTTTGCATGTAGGGACAGTGCAAGTTGCTCACCAGATGTAATGACTGAGAGTGGTGTTCGGGGGAGAGGAAGGTTCAAGGTAGCCTTGTGAAAGTCACATCAAAAGTTTTCAGTGAACAAAGGGCCAAGTAGCACTGACACTGTCCACGCTCCACGAAAGCACAAAAGCGGTCCTCAAATTGGTTCGATTCGCTCCCAAAATTACTTAAACATAACGGCAGTAGGGCCAGTCCCTAAGTTCCGATCGCCACTTCCAGAACAGTTATAGAATAGGTGTACCCACCTTTTCTTTTTTCTTTTTTCTTTTTCTTTCTTTTTTTTTCATAGAAAAGCTGTCTGCGCCTCATAGTACGAGGGACGGCTTTTTTACGCCCTAGCGCCCCTACACTATTCTCTTCTCTCAATATCGAGACAACCTCACCCGCCAAGGACCCGGGAGTTCCTACGTTTTCTTGTTTATAGAATGGACACTGAGAGTTGTGTGGTCCCGGCTCCCCAAGGCCCAGGGTTGAGCCAAGTCCCTCTGGGTTAAATGAGCTTAAATCCCGCTCTACTCTGTGCAGGGAAAAGTACTACCCAGGCTTGTGACCGCTATGGAAGGATGACAGGACCTCTGACCTATCCTGGCAAGATCGACCAGGGCCGGGCAACCACACTTATCTCAGCTGGTTGGTGATCCCAAAGTGAGCTGAAGGCGGGCGCAGGGAATCGAATGGCCGACGTGAGGAGTTGAACCCAGGACCTCATGAATGCCACTTAGGTGCTCTATCAACTGAGCTAGGCCCCTGTCCTTGTACCCACCTATTCTTTTTCTTTTTTTTTTTAATCTTGGACCATTTCTTGATTTATGCGTGCCATCCTTGGGCAGAGGCCACGCTACTCTTCTCCACCTATCCTAATCGACTTCGGCATTGAAACAATGGCCACAGTTTCAACTGACCTCAAGCTTATCTTCTTTGTATTATCCCATTGTTACTGTGGATCATAGGAGTGTGATGAGCATTTAAAAAAAAAAAACAAAAAAAAACGAGTTTGATGAGCGTGGGGAATGGCTGACAAGTAGAAGCAAGAAACATTGAGAGAGGTCAAGAACCCACAAACGCGCACACTTCGACTGCCGTGTGACAAACAAAATGGGCAAGATGAACAGATGCTTTAAGGGTACCAGCAAGCTCCACGTCAAATTCCCAGCCAACAGCTTGACTCAGCACAGCATGAGATCGAGGTTGGGCCGGTACTTGATATAGGACACAAACATGCCTCAGCCAAGGACACAAGCATGCCTCAACCAGGTGCTTCATATGAAAAGTTGTTTCTACGAGGACGCATTTCAATATGAAGTTGTAAAAGGCAGGCAGAAAAGCCAAATCAAGGTCTCCTGAGCGGTGATGAAACACGTGCATCTGAAGCAAACTTTGCGGACAGGTAGGGGGTTTGATTATGTGTGTATGCTGTGAACCTTACAGGCGACATCAATATATATATATATATATATTTTTGTGGACCATTTCTCGATTTATGCATGTCGTCCTTGCACAGGGGTCATCCTAATCTTCTCTGTATCGTTCCGATTTTAACGGATGTCCTAAAGGACAGAGATTACTGTTTTCACCTAAAAGAACGAACAAGATACAGATCCGACCACAGCGGACTCGTCGACTGACATGGCAAGCGGGCTCAAAGAAACAAAGACAAAGATTCAAACACCATAACAACCAGCTCTTTCTGAATTCCCAATATTCATAATAGTATAATACACAATTCCAGCGCAAACGTCAACATTGGATCCTGGGACAACGACTTCTTCCATAAATATCTAACGATGGATCTTTTCTCCGCGTAGTAGTGTATACTATAGTGTACAGTAATTCTCTATGTATACTTATGCTACCGTTCCAGAAGCAATCCTCGAGAATGACCTGTGAGTCTGGTGAAGCTAATTCAGCACACACCATGAGGGAGAAAGGCTCGAAGAGTTGTAGTTCACTCGATTAACAGGATTGCCACGGACGAGTTCATAGCAGTACATTAAGGACGGATACGTCCGAATTTCCGAAACAACCTCGAAGAGTTGTAGTTAATTCAAAATTTGCCATGAACATATCGTTCTCTCAGCAGAGTTCCAAGCTTCGGCCGGCACTTCCAGAAATACGGTTGTGCAGAGGTCGCGGCCTCTGCCAGCGCTTTGTGACTGCCGCCCTTCAGTTCCTCTACTACGGCGGCTCTGTCAACATTCTCATTATCATTATCAAGGGAAGCCGATGTGAAGGGTGATGACGATGATGTGGCATTTAACGATGGATTATTTTCCCCATATTATTTCAAAGGGCGACAGCCTTGAGATATCATCGGTCGCAGACAATTCCGTACTAGTATGTTATGTTCATCTGGTTACATCTCGATTCGAACTCAGGTCTGTACGTCAACAGTTCATTGGAGTACCAACTGAGCTAGGCCCGTCGGTACTAAATACCGGATTATTTGAAGTGCATAATATTAAAATTATCACGGAGCACGTCAGTACACTTATGGAATTACTCAGTCTCAGGTGTTCCATAAGGATGTGGAAGCACAAAACTTACGTTAAATAAGACGAAACGGTCTCATAACCACTTCAACTATAGAGTGGTATAGACAGTATTAGACACTAAACACAGAATTTCCACCAACTTTTGACATGCTCTTCACTTTGCGTTTTTTAAACTTTTTTGTTGTATGTTGATTTTTTAGCAAACCAATGCCTTCACCAACTCAGCCATACCTCCTGGGAAAACCGGGGATTTGAACCCGCGACTCCTACCAATTCCTTTTCCCTATCAACAATCCCCTGCTTGGTTCCTTAGCCTTGATGCTTGGCAAAGTTGTGGCTCCCATTTATAGTCTTTCTTTGCGTCTTGGCATTGCCGCACTTAATTTTTTTTTTTGCGTCTTGAGATTGTTCTTACCTCCAGATCTGACATTTTCCCATCCATCAGAAAAGATGAGATTCAGACTACTAAGCATGCAGCATTGTTTAACCTTCACAAGGAGAAGGTGGTCTGGAGCACTGCAGTTGCCGTTGCAGTCACCTCCAGGGTCAGAATTCATGGCGGTGACATGCGAGTCTTGCATTATCGTGTCATTGTAGCTCAGGTTTGAAGGACTCACTGACACACCATCTGTCAGTAGAAGCATAGAGAGAGA